AGAGCATGAGAGGGAGGAGGGTCAGAGGGAGAAGCAGACTCCCCGCTGAGCAGGGAGCCCGATGTGGGACTCGATCCCGGGACTCCAGGATCATGACCCGAGCCGAAGGCAGTTGCTTAACCAACTGAGCCACCCAGGCGCCCGGCATATACTTTTTTATATTATTCTCCTAAATCCTTTTTTTTTTAATTTATGTGGCATTCATTTTAATGTCCCCTCTTTTCATTTCTGATTTTAGTTATTTGAGCCTTCTCTTGTATTTTCTTAGTTAATCTAGCTAAGGATTTGTCCAGACAGTTAACATTTGACGTGGATTATATTTCATTGTTTAACACGCCAAGCACCTAGAATGTGTTAGGCATGCAAATGCCTTTTTTCTTTCTTACCCACCCAAGCCTTTCAAGTGCTTCTCCTTGTTGTATTTTGTCCTGTATTCTAAGAAATCCTTGAGATATGTTCTACGGCAGTACCCAGAAAATGTGATGTCTTCTTCCATAAAATGGAAGCATGGCTGGAACGCTAAGACGTCTGTGTCCTCAACTCCACTTGGTGAATCCAGTCGATGCAGTGTTCCCATCTGGCTTTCCCAGTGACCAGGTATCACTTCAGTAAGGTACCAGTCACAGATAATCACAGAGAATCACCGAATCCAGACATTCCTACCTTAAAAGTGAGGCAGGAGCTAGTTCGTCAAAGAGAGTTTAGTCCTACAGAACTTACCTGGATGACTTCTTTCTCTACCACTTTTTGACCTCTTAACCTACTCTCATCGGTAAAGCTGGTTACAATTAAAATCAGTAAAAGCAAGATATCTTATTTGATTCTATGGATCCTGCATAAAGTAGGGCAAGTTTTCTACCCTAAAACACACACTTCACTGCGTCTCCCTTCCATCCTGCACCCCACCCGTTTTCTCGGTACCCCAGCCGAACCTGAAATCCACTGCACAGGTGACCTCCCAGAGCCCTGGGTGCAGGGACAATATTCAGAAACAGTGGCCACCGCCCTCTTTCTAGATCTGGGTGTTCATTTTGTTCACTCCCTGCTTTGTTCCCATTATTAAACTGTGGACGATCACATGACCCTGGATGACTTTTATCCCTTCTCTTTCTGAAGGTACTTTCTGCTAGGGTATTTTTGGTTGTGGACGTCACCTTTAGTTTATTAGACAAGAAGGCTGCCTGTCGAGAGGCTGTATTATTAATTTATGGGCATTCATTTTTTCATGCTTTCAAGGTGAGAGCTGTGGCCCAAGCAGGTATTTAGCAAGTTAAATTGGAGGAATGGATGGCAGATTGCCAGGGGCAGGAGCTCCTGGGTATGATGCAGGAATGTGTCCTTGCCTGGGCCCATCACCAGGGACAGCATCCTCTGAGTATGATGCAGGGGTGTGTCCTTGCCTGGACCATCACCAGGG